ATTCGTAGTCGTACGTGGTCCTTCCGGGCATGTCCAGGTCCAAGCTCAGAATGTTCTCACTCTTGAACCGCGGATTCATGTCGCCAATTGCATTGGCCATTTTGGCAAACGCAGAAGTTGGTCGCCGCTGTCCCGCAACGGACATTGGCCTCTTGAGCTTTCCCGCAGCCGCCCCATGCTTGGAGGAGGCAGCCCTCCCCTCCAGTACCCAAACCTCCCTACTGTCGTCCCAACGCGCTTGTCGCATCACCTGATCACCGCACAGAAACTGCGTCATATTTCATCATGTTATCAATCACTAGCAAAAAATTACCAAACAACACTTTTTCGAACACACAAAAAACGCATTTCATCAAAGTTCTGCAGGCTAAAAGCACAAGAATAGCATAAAACCGTAAACTTTCTGCACGTTTGAACACGTATTATTTGGCCCTTCTTCTCCTAGTGAATGAGGGGGACTACTGTGGATTGGCCAAAGCTGCACTCAAGCAGCCCGCTGCAGTTCAACCCGCCTGCTCCTCTAAAACTCCTCTTACACCAATGTCAGAAGTTTTACCGTGCAAGTCACGGAATCAGAGCAAGATTCGATCTCGCGACGTGACAGTGTGTGCGGATCTCGAAACAACCTGCGGTAAAACGGATATGCGCTGTCGTCCTATACAGTAAACTACACCTTCAGAGATCGAACCGGGCGCAAGCGGCGGAGCGATCGCAGCGGGCAGAGGCCTTTCCTGCTGGACACGCTTCAGCCTCCGTCTGCAGTGAGGAAACAGATGTGCGAACATCACCTTGTTGACCTCTTCTGGGGGTATGAACCCCTCGATGACGGCGCGCTTGAGCTGCATCTGCTGCTGCAGTAGCCGAATCGAATCCAGGAGGTCTTCCTTCTCCCTCTGGAACTCAGCGTACATGTCGTCCACCTCCTGGTTGACGGCCCGAAACCTTTTCATCAGCTTGCGGAGCTTTTTGGTCTTCTGTTCGGCCTCATCTTGCAGCCCGTTGTACTTCCCCTCTGCGTCCATATTGGCTTCTTCCAGCTCGGCAATTCTCTGCATCTTTTCGGATTCTTCAAGACGCCTAGCAAACAAAGCCGTCAGTGCCGCTGGTCACAAATATCCATAAGCTTAACGAATGCAATACATCGAGACATGTCCACTGATTTCAGCAACATTCCCAACACAAGCCGGGAAATTTTTGTGAATATCTTGCTTCAGACTATTCAGGGAGACATTGAACACCATGGATCTATTAGTGCGTGATCCAAATCACTATCACTTCTCGAATTTCAAAATTTTCCAAAAAATGAAGCATCTTGTGAAGTGCACATTCTTCACGCCCATTTGAACCTGCAAACACCATTTACCTCTTTCGTAACAGCTCTTCTTTTGACTTCAAATCTTCCTCTTTCTGCTGGGCTACCTCCAAAAGGCCTCCTTTGGCCTCCCCTCTGAGAATCTTACTTTCCATGGCTTTTAGCTTTTTGAGGAGGGCATCTTTCTCCTCTTTTACTTTCATGGCCATTTCTTTCTCTTTCTCAACACTTTCCTTCTGCTTCATGACGGATTTGGCAATTTCTTCCTTCTCGACCAGCGCTGTCTGCCGCTCTGTTTGTAGTCTCCTGAGCTCCTCTGCTGCCATCTGAGCCGCCTCCTCCTCAATCTGCCGTCGCCAGACATAAAACATGAACCATTGTCACTCAACGAAATTGCAATCTCCAGTGCGCATCAAACCCGCATTGACTGCTGTGTAGTTTAAGGGCAATCTTCCGACAGAAAGACCCCAACAGTTGCATTCAGAGCCCAAACAGGATGGTTGCTGTAGAGCATATAGAGCGGCCATTCGGACTTCGTCCAAAATTTGTGCACTTGGTTTCTGAGGGTCTGGCAGCTGCAATTACGAAAGCTCCACATGTCTGCTGCGCAAACGGCCAGAGAGCTTGAACCAGCGCAATGAATTTGTGGCTTTCGTTGCGCACAAAACATACATGGTGAAATTATCTAGATAATTTCAAGCTCTACGACAATAGTTAGGATCACCTGCCTGAGGCGCTCTTGGTCAATTGCTCTCCCTTGCTCCAAAATCTCCCTTTTCATGGATTCTTCCATGTCTCTCCGCATATTCTGCAGCTGTTGCGGCCCCAAGGACTTTTCCTTTTCCACCACGCGCTCGATGACGCGCTCGCCTCCATTACTTGCATTGTCTGCATTCTTTGCAGCAGGGTCGACAAGAGGCTATCAGTCTCACCGCCACGCGGCGCGCGTCGAACATTAATTTGTCTTCTTGTAGAAATTTCACTTCTGTGCACATCGCTATTACATTTAACTCGACTGTTATTGTGTTAGATACAGCTCTATGTACTGTACATAACTGTGACAGTTCCACACGACTATATGGAGAAAACAAACAAATGGGCAATTATTGATAGGCGCCATTTCTGACACAGCAATTTCACGTGCGTATATCAGTGCCACATTGGACCGCAAAGCCCATCAACGATGTGACAAACGTGCCTGAAGCGCCAACTTCAGCCTGTCTATTTCTGTCTGAAATTCTCTAAGCATCGTGTCTTTGGGGTCCTCGTTTATTCTCGGCTTGTTGCGAATGTTCTTAGCCCGGTTTGCGTATCTCAGTGTGCTCAAAGTTTCATCGTAATTCCAGTCCGCCGGCCCGCAGTTTGCGACCATCACTGTCTTGGTGTTCCCGCCTAGGGAATCTTGCAGAAGCCGAGTGAGCTTGCTGTCACGATACGGTACATGGCCTGCAGGAAAGTGGAAAAACTCCTGTAGACTGTTCAGCAACGAGCACAGTATGTCGCCATCCTTCATAAAGCAAACGGAGTCGTTTTGGGTTTGCGGCCGTGACATCCCTAAAGATGGCAACGCAGGGGGAACGCCGCAAGGGATTGGCCAAGTGATTTTTGTGCATGCTTGACGAGAAAACATTCAATCCCGCGGCGAGTCCGATGACATCTGCTGAAAAGAATTGGCAAACCACCAGACAATGCAACAGATATTGGGGTCTGCATTGGCCGATTTACCTCCCCGCGCCATTCTCACCGCCTTTCCCGTCCACCAGCGCACTGACGACGTTCCCTAGCGCGGACAAAGACAGGTTGATTTTTGTGGCCTCTTTGAGACGTTCTCCTGTGGCCCCAGTCTTCGACTGCCTCTCACTGCCGGCAAGATCCACCAGGTTGAGCTTTCCTACACGAATGTGGCCGTCCTGCGTTGGTAGTATCAAATCAGTCTTCCTGCCACCTGCATCAATGCTTGAAATACATTCAAGTGGGTTTCTTTTGCCGACGCAAGGAGGGGGGCCGCATGTGAATGTTAACTCCGCGTACCTTCCCTGCACCTTGCTCAATCATTTCGACGGTGATGGTGAATATGGAGTGCGACCTGGAAGAATCTTGGTTCATCTGTGTGGATGCTACCGACCTATTTTTCTTTCCCACCTGGATGTGCCGGCAACAATAGAGCTACTCAGAAAGCGGCATTTCAAACATGCACTGAATTCCTCCATTTGCAAATATACCAATTGGTATACGGTTCGATTCCAGGGCTGTCCTACAAGAGAAATGTCATGTTGTTTGCGGCAGGCTGCACATGGGGATAGGCGCTCCTAGAAGTTGAGACACCGACAAGCCAGCTACATCTTATGAATGAAGCTGCATTGTACGGCAACTTAGTCTCCAGGTCTCGCTGAATACCGATCGATAAACTGCTCTCCATGAGTTTCATTAACATTGCACATGACGGGGACTGGATGCGTGAATGCACATCCAGTGTTTTTCAAATTAGGGGCTGCGCCCATGTATATAATCCACAATGACTAGAAAGGCCATATATCTTTGTTTGGAACGGAAAATTTAGAACCTTTCCGAGTTTAAAAATTGAAAAACGAGGAAAATGGTAAATTGAAATACGAGTAAAGCCATTTTATTCACGCAATGAAAGGATGAATTTATCACTTGAAGACGTCTTCCAGAAAAGCAATTATGTGTGTATCTCCAATTCCGCTGCTACACGCATTCCTGTCACCTAAATTTGCAGTGTTTGCCAGCCAAGCAAGGCTCACCTCAAGGACACTAGCGATCTCTTCCACACTTTTCACAACAAAGGAGCTGATGCCTTTCACGTATACACCCCTATCTTTACTCTCCTTCAGCTGCAACTTGTTTTTGGGATTCTTCGACAGCAGATCGCGGATCTCTTCGTTGTATATTTCCAAGAACGAAGATCTCACGAGATATTGCCTATTCTCGCTGACATCGATGGAGTCGAATATGTGCCTGCAGATCAAAATCCAGAGTCAACCGAGGCTTGCACACGTGACAGGTGGCTGAGCGATGCGTCTGCTGTGCTGCCGGCGGCGTTACGTACGCACATGGAGCCAAACAAGACCACACGCCCATTTCAGACACTTACGTTGGATGCAGCACGGAACAATTTACGCCCTCTGCATCAATGGGGAGAGGAAGTGACAATCGCTCCTGATGGGCCAACGTCAGTTCCATGACTCCTCACTTAGCAGCAGTTATGATTAGAGCACGACCGCAACACGAACATTCGGCCCAATCAGCGAATGAATTCGAATTGAATAAATCAGCGAATCGGCCTGGCGCACGCATGGCGCTGTTCAGAGCCGACACACTCGGCTTCAGATATATCTGCCGGGGAGATGCCCATCAACGCTGCGCCCATGTGAATCCCCAGGGCCGCCTTTTCGCCTCTGACAACACATCCCGCCCGCGGCCGCGCGGGGCACGCATGCCGATCCGCCAACAATCTCCTTGCACATGCCTGAAGGACATGGGTATGATCCCCGCCGCCTCCCCCGAGCCGCCCTCCATGGTGTGGGTCTTCCCCGTGCCGGTCTGCCCGTACGCAAACACCGTCCCATTGTACCCCTCCAGCACGCTCTCCACGATGGGCTTCGCGCAGGCCTCATAAATCGAAGCCTGGCCCGAATTCCAGTTGAACACCGCGTCGAAGGTGAACAGCTTGGGCGGGTCAGCCGCCTCCAATTTGGGGTTGCGCAGCGATATCTGACCCGTGGGCACGTCCACGTCCACCACGCGCTGCCGGCCATCCCCCGTCTCTGCGTAGTTCAGGGGGCGGCATCGCACGACGACTTTGATGTTCTCCGAGGAGGAAGGTTGTCTGGGCGTGATTGGGGGGGGAGGCATGCTGGGAGGGCGGCGAGCGGCGAACTAGGGAACGGGGGGGCCACTGTGGGATTGCGGCTGGCCCTCGTTGCGGGTCATGCTCCTGACAGATCGAAGTTCTAAAGGCCGCAGTGCGCTGCGGCGCTGGACGCGCACTGTGAGGGCCAAGCCAGGCAGCTGAATTGGTTGCAATGATTCTTGTCGTACCAAGTGGAAGGAATGGCATGTGGTGCCTCAGAACATTTGGTAGCAGTGGCGCAGGCGCAGGGAAAATGGCGAACAGAGGATATGAGAATTAAGCATGATCAACGGTGCAGCGTCGGTGCTTGATTCGGGCAGCCAATCTACAGACGGCGGAAAATCCCCCCTCTCCCCCCCAGACCCCACCCCCGCTCACACCACCCACCCTCCTCCTTCCCCTCTGTCATTGCCTGCGGTCTGAGCACAACGCGGCTTCGTGCCCTTCAACCAACATAGCAACGCCAATGCAACACTGGCTATGCAGTTTCCTGAGCCCTGCAACTGGTTCGAATTGTCCCGCCGCACACAAGCCATGTATGTTCGCTGCCACGCCCACCACGGACACAAAATGCAACCAACCATCATTGAGACTTTCAGGCACATTCCCATGACATGGGGCCTTTCCAAGAGAAACCACAACTTTGCCACCACGAATCGGTCGGCAGGTTCTTTCTTGTTCAAAAGAAAGGGAAGGGAAAAGAAAGAACAGTTGTATGACGTGGCAGTTGGCGTGACCACGCACCCACTAGTGAGGTGCCGTGGTCTGACGTCTGGGCCGCCAACGTGCCAGCCATGTGCGTGCGGCGTCTCGCCCTGGCACCGATGAACAGCCATTTGCCTTGAAAGAGATGAACATCGCAATCGAAGTGAACTGAGAGTCTGGATTCCACAGCATCCAGATCACAGTGTTACAATTCGACGTCAACGACTTGGCCTCCCACTTACTGCACAAGATGTTCATACCGCCTGACTTGTTCACTAAGCTCCTGATGCTCACGCTTCAGGGCTTCTATTTCCTCGAAGAACTCAGGATCAAAAGCGTCTAGCTCGTTTTGCAGAAACTCATTTTCTTCCTCCAGTTCCCGCACCCGCCTCCTCAAGGCAGAGCTCGTTTCAGATGGTGCAGCGAGTTCCGGTTCACTTGACGTGGAAGGCTGCACAGTCTCTTGGTGGGTATCGGGCGACTCCCCAGGGTGCGACCCAACGCTTGCCAGCGCCTTCCTCAAGGCTGCCAGTTCAGCGTCCTGCCATCAACAGACAATGTTGAGTTTGCTGAAACGAGCTTGTTGCAGACCACACGTCTGCAAGGCGAGACCATGCAATTCAGCAGGCCTCGCCTTTAGGTTTCTTGCCGCCATCTCCGCATGTACACACTGCTACTAGTAGACAACTGTTGATGCCCTGGCGCCCGTACTTACGTGCATGTACATGCATTTTTACAGTGGGCCAACGCAGGAGCGTAGCACACTGCCACAGGCTTCTTTTCAGCTCGCAGTCTCATCAAGCACCCCTAGCACCGCGCCCAGCTCGCCCTTGTACAGGGTGCGGATGTTGCCGAGCAACCCGTGCGGCCGGTTGCCACCGCCTCTCTGTGCCTTCTATTATGCCTGGAACCTCAGAAACAGCTCGACCAATGCATGTGTGCGGTCTTGCGGCCGCCATCGCCCTTGTATTGCATAGGCTCTGTTTTTGGTGCGTGGCCAAAGGCAATCCAAGGAAGTCGTTGCTGCCTTTCGGCCGCTGCCCTCCGCATGAGAGCGTACAGATGGCGGATTTTTAGGCATTTCTACGCTTATGCAAACACATGCATAAGTGCGACAGAGTCTTATTTTCTTGTACAGATCAAGCCTGAGCTGCAGGATGAGCTGCCTTATGAGCTGGCCAGCACACGAAGCAAAAAATCGTCCTCATGACTTCCACGTTGCTAGCCTCTTTTTGTTTGGGACGCGGGAAATTACACCCAACAGATGCAACCCATATATTTGTGCAGCTATCCTAGCCATGCACAACAACACAGCGACTGGAGTTGAGCAACAGTCGTGCTTTCAGTTAGCGCACGTGCAGCAGTTACAAGGAAGCAAGATTTGCCGCAATGAGTCCAGCTCACAGAGGTATTGCAATAAAACCCCAGAATCTCTGGCAAAAATCCAGCGAGCTGAGCCCACTGCGTTTCTGGAAACCGAGGTGAGCAAATATGCACAGGAACATGGCAGCCCCAGCCCAACAATGCCAAAGAAAACTCCCACCTTCCTGTTCATAGCTTGCTGAGCCTCGTCGAGTTTGGCTGTCACATCTTGGAGCTTCACGACTTGACGTCTCAAAACAAGATTAGAGGTCTGCAGCTCATCGATCTTTTGTTTCAGGTGCTGAACATCCACCTCCTTCTCAGACAATCGCTGCACTTCGCTAGCAAGCTCCTTGGCCCGTGCCTGGGCCTCCTTTCGCTTCTCAACCGCCTTAAAAGCATTAGGGACAATGGTGTGAGCTTGGGGACTTGTCAACTGAAATGCGCATTTATGTACTGAGCGGCTGCTGACTTTTGTTTAGTCGCAGTTTATTGTGCCAACACTGACATGGCTCACCTGTGTGGAATCAACGATTCTGCAGAAATCCAAGAATCGTTGAGTACGGAAATCGTTCTTCTGTGATTTACGACAAGGCGCACAAAGTTTCGACACACAGTGTCCGTGGGCTCTGGCTACTGCACCATTATTGTCGCTGGTACATTGCTGTCGATAAAGATTGGGAGACAACGCATGTCTCACACGTTTGCATGCTCATGAATTTTACACGCATCGCTGACCCGCAATGTTCCATGTCACAGCCCAATACTCTTATCTCATTCGCACAAAGCAGGTACACCCAGCTTTCTCCCAACATAAGGTTTCATGTGGCCTTGCTTGGGAAGCACACGGTTCATTTCCCTTTGGCATTGAGCTCATGCCTGCGTACAGACCAGGCTGACAGACAGGTTGCAAACACAAGGGCAACCCGAGCGACTGCGAAGATATCTCTAGCCCAATTGGGCAAGGCCACCGACATTGACTGAGAGCTCAGCACCCAACGCAAGTGCATACCGCCATGGCTTGCTGAGTGGAGTGCACCACATGAGCCTCCAGTGACAGTTAGCACCGGCGCTTACTGTCACTGCAGGCTCGTGTGGCCATTCAGTGCAGCCCATAAACAATCTTACAATCATTAAATCATACCCTGCTGGCCCCTGTGGTAAATGCCAGACAATGACAACCACAGTGGCATGGAGCAGCGTATCTGGTCTCCCCAATTGTCCCGATGACACAGCCATGTTCACAGCACTGGCAACGAAAAAAATTCCTAGATCACGAGATGGCCGAGACCACCAATAAGGTATGTATATGCAAACTGCGACCTGTTTCAAGAGCCCGTGCATCACATTTGGCTTGTTGAGCGGGCGCTGTTTTGGCCAATGTGCAAATGAAACCAGAGAGGAAATTCAAGCACTTTCGGACCTGACGATACTTGGTTGGGGGTACGCCCGCCTGGGACTTCTCTAGCGCTTTCTTGAGAGTGTTCACCGTGGCCAGCAGCTCTCGTTCTCGTTCAGTGCCCGAAATCTGTTTCCCACGTCTTGACGAGGATTCCAGGGGTGTTCTACATGGACTTGCTGTGGCGAAAGTGGACTCTCCATTTCCAAACAGATCGTGCATCCGCTGTTTCAGCCTATGTACATGAGCCTCCGCCTGATCCCTCTGCAAGGCAGCCTCGAATGCTTCTTCTTCCTGTAAAAAGGTGCGAAAGATTATCAATGCGATGGAATGTCCACCAGCAGGTGGAGTTACTTATCACAGATAAGACATCACAAGGTGTTCCCCAATACGACGTGACAATCTTGCCTGATTATGGCAAACAATGCGACACATTCGTTGTCACCTTAGTGCCATTTTCTACTCCTTGTTGAATAAAGCAGTCAATGTCAATTTGATGGCTAGTGGTGAAAGCAAATGGGCAAAACACGGCAATGGCACACGACATGTCATCAGCCTGACCCGTAGATGAATGAAGAATAATGTAGTCTGCGACAGACAACTTTGTGCAGAATGATCCACGACAGTAAAAGGATCTAGACAACATAGAAATCTGGGCAAACAATGTGTGGCACACCTTAAGAATTAGGGCTGCTTCCAGATCTTCATCAGCAATCTTTTTCTTCTCTTCGAGGCGCTGTGACCCATGTGCTTCATCCCTTCCCTGACGAGCGACCTGAAGCTCTAGTCTGCCCTTCTCTTCCTCCACTTCATTCAGCTTCTCAAGAAGGGAGGCAAACTGCAGAGGTCGCAGCACGATGCAATCAAACCGCGGTCTGCAGAAACTGCCAATATTGCAAGTGATGTGCCGCAAATAAAGGCAACAAGTGTTTAGCGGGCATGTGTTCAGGACTTCCAATTCCCTACCTGGAGAGTTACAGCAGCTTGCTCATTCGATACTTTAATTCCCTCAATGAAGGACAATATCAAAATCCAATGTTGACAATTATTTTCTCATGTACCAAAGCACGGCCCAAAAATGTGCTGGTTTGCGTCTTGCAGAAAGAATACCAGTGGTAAAGGCTGTTCTGTCAACATGGCAGTGCAGATGCACTTCCCATCGTAGAGTTCAAAACCTGTTCGCATCAGCCGTCTGCAGTGGGTCAAATCCTCAACTGTTTGAAAACAATGGTCACACACACTCAATCCCAGTGTGCTATCTTCTTCTCCACTACAGTTCAAAGAGAATGGAGTCCATTGCAAGTGGAGTCCATGGACAATGCGATCCCCGGCAATCGTCACCTTTGCAGCACCCGGTTGCTGCTTCAGCGCTTCTTTAGACTGTTTCAGCTCTTCTTGCAGTGATCGTATGCTGTTTGACTGTCGAATGGCAGCCTTATGCTGTTCCTCAGTGTGGAGGTGCAACCTCTCCAATTCCTTGCGCGTTTGCATGAGTTCCTGGTTTTTCTTGTTGACAAGCGTCCTGGTTCAATGAGTAGGCCAGTTTTGGTTCCCGTACGTAAAAAGGAAATAATCCTTTGCAAGGGGGCATTGTTCACAGCATGCTATTCTGTCGAAAGATATGAAGCATATATAGGAGCAGCGAGCACATCCTACAATTTATATTTGTGTTGTAGAGCAACGATGATAATGCGCCCACAAATTGGCACCCTCTACAAAACAAATCTGAAGGGCAGTGGGTTAGGAGACCATTGGCATCTGTACCTCAATGTACTGCTGTGATAAATCCCTGAACAATACATGGAAACAAATGCGCTGCAAGTCAATTAAACGTACCAATCAATGCAGTGCATCCACCCTCGACTGTACACCACATAAATGCACACATTTGCGTTCATGCCATGAACGCCACACCTTAGATTTTCTATTTTCTTTTGAAGTCTTTTGTTCTCCTCCCACTGTTGAATGGACAAGTCCTGCCTTGCTGGTAGCTGCAAAACATGCTCTGCATCACTTCCTGTGTCTTTTCCTGCATCGCCACCATGGGCAATTGGCGCATTCTTCCTAACAGCCTCTCTGGAAGCTTTCTCGTGGAGCAAACGGTTCTGCTCTTGCAGCCTTTTGTTCTGAGCCGACAAATCCCCAATGGTCTTCTCCAGTTTTTCTACAACGTCCTGGGGACCTGGTGCTAGCTCCCTTGGCTTCTGGGATTCCTGTGCCAGTGGCACATCTACCAAATCAAATTTCGCAAGGACTGCCACGTCTCACAATCTTTTTGCACACCAAATTCCAGCAACAATTATGGCCTTTGCTCAGATTGCATTGCTCCAAATTTCGATGCACTGCAAAACATCTTTCCATGGTAAAGTCTTTGAACAGCACCAACCTGGCAGGCACTTGCCCTGTTTGCTTTGTACTGACCCCGCCCTTGGATCTGATTGGCCTTGGAACTGGGCCAGCTTTTCGTGGTGTTGCATTTCAGTTTCCTAAGCTCCTCCCCCTTCTCTTCGAGTTCGTGTTGCACAGTTGACAGCTCAAGTTGGCAGCGTTCCAGTTCCTGCACAGCCGTTGCCCTCTGGACACGCAGTGCAGCTATGCGTTCATCCAGCACCTCCTGTTCACGCCAGCTGCTCTCGTGCATGGTCCTGGAAGACAGCCAAATTATTGTGAGATGATCTGTATTTTCCGGCAAAATTGTCTACCTTTGCAGCACACATTCGCCCACCGTGGAAATGAGGTAGTGCTCTCAGGCACTACATTGCCATGCTTCAGTCCAGGTGGCTGTACCAACAAGATTCTAACTATAACAAAGGGACAAAGTTGACTAACAGTGAAAATCATCTGGCTACAGACCACCTTATGTTGTGGCGGTTTGCAGTAGGCAATGTGACACTCACTCATCTGCAGTCTGCTTCAGAGCGTCCACAAGTCTCTGCTCCAGTGCTTTGATCGCATCTTTCAGTTGACGGAGTTTAACATCCTTTGATGCTATTTGCAGCCTCAGTTTTCTCTCAGCTTCCCGCCAACCCTTCTCCACCTCCCCGGAGTTTATTAGTTCCTGGGCACTGGCCAATTCAGCCTTTAAAGCCTCCACATCCTCTCCCACGGCAGCCATTTGACGATGGTGCTTCAGCTGCTGTTCATCAAGATTTTCCTCCAGCTGCTTGACTTGAGTGGTGAGCAGGGTAACCTGCGCTTCCCTCTCCTCCAGCATGTGTTTCAATTGTTCATAAGATTCATTCCCTCCGTCAACCGGATCATGATGGGCTGACTCGTGTGCAGAAGTTGGATGGCTCAGAGCACCCTGCAACCAATCATTTCCAGTCAACTGCCACACGATCAACAAGTGTTCTCACATGCTGAGCACAGTGCCAACTAGTACATTTTGCTCACTTGATTCTGCAGAAAAATGGCAGATCTCTATAGCAAGAGCCCAGCCACACATCTCATATCCATGGCATCTGGGCACAGCCATTGATACTCGTACAATGAAACTCTGCTGGGAGTGCACACAAGATATGTGCAAACAGAGCATGCGGCCTTTGCACTGGTAACACAAAGGACATCATTTTAGCCACCTTCAATTGCTCTATGGATGTCCTGCCTCCCTCAAGGAGACGGCTACTCAGGCGTTGGATCTCACGGCGATCTATGTTGTGTTGACGCAGATACACCTCTCTATCATTCTCAAGCCGAATGTGAAGCTCCTTGAAGCGCAGCTCTTTTTGGATAACCTGCTCTCGCAACTCTTTTATGGTCGATTCTGCCATGGCCTGCACCTGCAGGGCAGCGAGCAAGCCAGTCAGATCAAGAGCAAACAACCATTGCAAGGGCGGAGGTGTGATAATGAATAAGGCAGGTATTATGGCAACACTATAGCTTCCTGAACTTCTGTCAGCCAACAAAATCCCAGGAATCTCTAATCGATCATGAACAGAGATACATTCAGAGATTTGTTTCCTCTGCAGTTCGTTTTGGCAGGGCAGCGTGCAAGAATGGGCAAATGAATGGCAGATGAGCAGGCCTATCTTACCTATAGTTGGAACCAGTCCTGGCAATGGCGATGCGCCTACTGCATTCGTTGCCCAAAAGCATCGATCAGCTTTCCTGCAATAGATATCATTGGGTCTGCATGTTTGGTAGTGCCCTAACCCAACCACCACAGGGCCCCACATTCACTCCTCACTGAGCAATTCTGCCTGGTAGCATTGGTCACACAAGGTGTGGCTTGCAAATACACATAAACATTGGGCCATACCAAGGCGAAACAAAATATATACCTCTGAGAAATTTCAGCAAGCGCAAACATGGCAGCTGCACGTGGCGCTGAATCCCTACATTTTTATGCTTCCTGTCGGTCTCATGGCATAAACGAATCAGCATCGAAAGGAGTTTCACAGCTGCACATCAGTATTCTGTAATCTTGATGTGCTGGACAGAATAACATTCCCAAGGACATCCCACCTGGGAAACAGCAGCATCCTTGTTATCTTGAGATGGCTTGGGATTGGATAGTGAAACTTCCGATCCTTGTTGCAGCCGCTCCAGCAGATCATTGTACTCCTTCCTTAGATGCTCCAGCTGCCCTTGAGAAACAGATAAGTCCCGTTGAAGTCCATCGCATTGCTGGCGATATGTCTTAACTTCCAGGCGTGCGTCCTTCACTTTTTCAATCTAAGCGAAGAAAGCAACACAATTCCGAGACTATCAGAATCAGCAGGTCACAGTGCACACTAACTCATGCAGCGAATGGTGCATAGCAGTGTGCTGTGATCAGCTCACAAAGCAAAGAATGCAGTTAAGCAACTGCTGGGTTTGATATTAGTGGTGGTCGTGTATCAAAACACTGGGCACTAGCACCTCACTGCTCCACTGCAACATCAAAACTGAGCTGCGCTGGGGCATTTCGAAATACAAAAAAAAGACAAGGCAAGGATTGTCCAGGTTGAGACAAGCACTGCTGAATGCAACATCTGTGACAGCGTTTGTCAGATTCTGCCACATCCATTTTCGCCCGTCCTTTACCAGCCCTTCAGGACATGGTCATCATCTGCGGGGAAGGGAAGAGTCTCAAAGGGGCTTCCTGACAAAGGGTGGCCTGCTCATTGGCACGTTTCTTCTTCGACCAATTTGCAGGCACGATCACCTGTCGAAGCATCAGCTCCCTATCCGCTGCTGTTCCTGCTGCCTGTTCTTCCCGGGCGCCAAGCTCAGTGGACCTGGCTGAATCATGGAGCTCTTTCATTGCAGCCAGTTCCACTGACAAGGTTTCATTCTCTTTGGAAAGCTTGCTGATCGTGTTCTGCAGCTGCTGTCCTTCTGCACATGCTGCTTCATTGTCAGAAGCTAGCTGGCTCAGTTGCTTGACAGTTTCGCCCTCCATATGAGACACAACACTCTGCAGGTCTGCATTCGTGCGCTCCAAGTAAGACACCTAAAGGCATCAGTAAAATCACCTCTCAGGAATGGTGGTGTGGAATTGCAGGTTTGGTCTTCACATGCATGGATACAAATGGGTATCATTCCAATATGTTGAACCAGCAAATCTGTTATCAATATGACTATTCACAGGATAAGCAGAGAGGTACATGCATTCGTCCTTTATACTGGGGATATCAATGAAAAAAATTCATTGAGCACAGATACTCGAACACTCATCAAGTGTCACCGTCCTCTGGGTGCAACTCCTGTTGCTATAAACTGTTCGCACCATATTTCACAGTATGGGAAGGCATTCAGCACTTGTTGTTCATGAGTGGAGGACCTTTGTCTTGCACGTTCTTTTCTGTTGGAAAACAGAATTCCCTGGTCTATCACATTGCTGTCACCTTAGTTCTGGAAGATTCCATCGCTCTCTCTAGACGAGCATTTTCGACTTGTACGGTCAGCAGTTTCTCCTGACGATCAGCCAATGCCTTATAAATCTCTGGAGCTGGCTGCGACATCAGATCAGATAGGCGGTCCACAGCTTCTGCTGTCATGATGACCTTGTCCCTTTGCTGCTCCATTTCCTTTACCCGTGCTTGAATATTGTGAAGATTCTGTGAGAGAGTGCTTTTGCTGGACTCCAGAAGGGCAAACCTCTTGGTCCACAGCTCAGCTCTCCATCTCTCAACAAGACCAGCGCGGAGGGATTTAAGGTCAGAAATGAGGCGCTGGCGATCTGCACGCACACATCTGCCGATGCAAAGACCAGGCATGGAAGCCTCTCAGGATGTACTAAACAGGCTACTTTGGAAGCCATACAGTGGTACTTCATGTTTGTACAGATGTTCAGGGGAAGTTTCCATTTAGCATCTTTTGATCCTTATCTCTGTGCACCCAGCACCAACTTGTACAAACTGGCATAGATGTACACCAACCACAACATGAGGCCATTCTTCTGGCATTTTGAACAAACCAAACATCAAAGCAGAGCAGTAGCTACCAGTCAAATGCACCCATTGTACTATGATCCAATCGTGACACGGTGTTCAAAGAATTGGAGCGTGTTTGTCAATACACTCTGCTGTCAAATGGCACGGTACCTGAGTTCCTCTGCCATTGCCGTCGACTGACACTTTGCTTGTGCCACAGCTGCTGCCATGTGGTTCACTTCAAGCATCAACTTGTCTCGTTCACTGTTGGACTGAAGCTGCCCACAACGTGCAAGGGCTTCCAGATCTCGAACGTGTTCCAATTCCAATTGAAGCCGAGCAATTGCGGCCACCTTGTCCCCATGGCCCGCCGCTTCCCTCAAAGCACCCTTGAGATTCACAATCTCTGCATGGTGGCGTTTCAACATAATTCTTAAGGTGGCCACCCTGGACCCATCCACCTCTGCAGATTCTTCCAGAGTTGATACCTGAGTAAGATCGTACCAACACCAACACAATGTCTCCCCAGCCATGTGAACGATCGTGAGATGTATCACATTTATTCATTACTTACTCAGTCCTGTGAAGCAGCTCCCATTCGTGATGCCATACAGAAAGGGCACAAGCATTAAGATAACATGTTGCTGTTGCAAACTCCGGTGCAAACTTCAGTTGAGTGAAACTATAAGACAGTCAAGGACTGAACGTGTTTCTGTGCACTTCAAAATTAAGAATCTCAGATTCACCCAAAATCGAACTTTGTCACCTGCAGTTCTAATTTTGCGCATCTCTCATCTGCTGCTGCCCATCTGGTGTACAGGTCATCGAAACGCTCACGGCTGACACTCGAAGCAAGCAGGTCGTCCCGGTCTTCCTTAGAACGAGAAACCGCATCCAACCGAGCAGACAATTCAGCCACACAGTTGTCCATGTGTTTGGCTCGTTCCTGTGGGCGAAATGTATAAGATTGTTACCAGGGGCTGGCCTGCTACAGTATAATCTACTGGACCCTGGAGCCACAGATCTACATGCTGAGAGGCGGGGGTCCCAAGCAAACCACTACTAACCTTGCGTTATCAGTGTTGACTGTGCTACAATTGCCACTCTTTGACTAACATATGAAGGGGAAGGCGTGCTAACCTCAGAACAGGTGCTCCCCAGAGATATTTCCACCCCAAAGCACAACCAATTAATAAAGTATTGTGCATGTGACAATACCCACCAAAATAAAAGATACAATTACACATGCCAGTGAGCTTCAGCAGGGTCTCAAAGGGGCCAGAATCACCTATCGATGAACATTGCACATTTCAAGGTGCCTTGTACATACTGCTGGAGTTCTGACATCTGGACCTTGCCCTGCAAAATGCGACTGCCTCGATGGACCAACTGCAGATCATTGCAGGCAGTGGTGCCAATGCAGAAGACAAACTGGTGAGCAATCCTCCCTGCACACAATTTGCTCACCAGTGCTTCCACAAGAGACTCTTCTGCCCTTTCTTTTGCTCTGTCAGCCACTTCCACTCGCCTACAGGCATTCTGCTCTTTCACCCTCAATTCCACCAGCTCGACCTGCAGTGCCGATGAGGCGCAATCGGCGTTTGTGCTATTCTCCAAACCTCTCTTGAGCTCAAGATTTTCTTCACTGAACCTCGTGGACGTGTCACTCATGTCAAGAAACTTCGATATCCAATAAGAGACAAGTTCATCATACACAACATTGCCCTTGTCATGCAGTGTTGCTCTGTTCCCATACTCCTCCACAAGTTCTCTGTGGCACCGCTGCAAATCAACGTACTTTTGTTGCACAGCATTGAAAACCTGCAGGTGCAACATGAGTAACGCTTCAATGGCCAGGAAGAGCACCAATTGTACAAAACGTCGCTAAATGAGAACATCGCAACCATGCTGCTTGCCCTCCACAAAGAAAGCACAGAACCTGGCAGTCATGAACTGACAGTCCAGCATAGGATGACTCTCTGTCTGAAGGACAAATTAAGACAACTTGTGCTCTCCACACCAGTCGTGGCCGCTCCCTTCTGGTAGGCTGTGCCTAAGTTCAATGCTGCACAAAGAAAGCAAGAAAGAAAGGCAAGCATGGGCTTGCTGCAAGTAATGTCCTATCAGGCACCTGACAGGGGACGGATGCCTCCAGCCTGCTCAGCGCACCCTCCAGCCGTCTGGAAAGGTCCTTGGTGAGGTGGCGAGAATTCCGCAGAAGAGCCTTGTATGTGCATGTCACGTTGTCCGCTGCTGATTCCATGGTTCTACACTGATTGGACATTGCTGACTCCAGTTCCCGGGAGGTTTCCAGCTCCCTTGCAATTCTCACATGTTTCATCTGGAAAGTATAGCCCACAGAGCAATGGCGTCAGTTCCATGAATGGGAACACTGTTTACCATGGTGATCAACTGGGACAACCATGAATGAACATTGTCAAACTTCAACGCAGTGCAACTCTCTGCAGAATTTCACCATCGCAATTGTGACAACTCAATAGGTCATGCTGGGGTACCTGTTGTGCGTCTCCAGCGGTGCTCAAAACCCAATTGTCAGCTCAGGACAAGAACACCACTAGTCATGCAAACCTGTTGTAGCATGGTGTGGTGGCAATTGTGTGCTCAACATTGAACGAGCCTCATACTACTGTGGCCACCAACGCCACAAAATTTCCCCTCATTCATTGGGTAATAAGGCTGAGCAGGACTAGATTTGGATATGCACCTGCACAATTGCCGCCCGCCGAACAGCCTCAGCGAGACTCTCCTTCACACTGCAGCCCTGGGCCATGTTTTCTATGCCACGTTCGACTTCACTCGAGTAGGCCCGCAATGAGTCAATTTCACCCTTCATTTCTTGCATCTGAAAGCAAGCACAAGAACCCATATAAATAGCTTCAGTTTCTCTCAGATTACAGCCACGATGCTCGGATTCTCACCAAGCTAGCACCAAGACACACTCCCAGAAGGGTACAAAAAATGCAAAACACTTCAACTGGGTACAGCTGCAAGGATATGAGAAAGAATCCAAATATGATGCAGACAACCTCAGAATGATGTTGTAGCTGTTGTCCACAACAGACAGGAGCAGGAAACCAGAGTGCCTGCGAATTCTGCATTCACTGTGCCAAAGTTCCAATTTTGCACAAAAGACAAACCTTTTTCTCCAACCCTAGCTTTTCCTTCTTCCATGCTCTGAGGGCCGATACATGCTGAGCATACAGCAGTGCTCGCTGATCGAAGAAGGCACCCATCTGTCGTCTATATTTCTCACAGCTGAGAACAAGAGCCCTGTTCTCTGCATTCCTCTTGTCCACCTCCTCAACCAGCTCAACCAACTGCAGTTTCAATGCTGCCATAGAATGAGCTTCCCCAATGGACCTATTAGTTGCTTCCTCTTCAGCTACAACAAGAAAAGGAAAGTGAGGCTTGAACATTTCAAAATCGTTCTTTCATGTGTCTAAGTCAAAGACAACAGACATCTCAGGTGGGTCAGAGAAGGTTCTCCGAATCCCCATCCTGCTGCACTGCAGATTTTCCAAATGAAATTCAAAACAGCAACGAACAATGCCATACACCCAAGTCTCGTGCCAAACATGCCAAGCAAGACAGCACACCTTGTGGGGTTGCTTGGCAATCTCCTGAGCCAATGTTCTGCTTCAGCTGTGATAGCTCGATGTCCTTCTTAGCAAGTTCAAGGTCTAGGCCAGCAGCTTTCTCAACCATGGACTGAAGTTTCTGCTTTAACACATCGAGTTCAACATCTGCAGCATAGTTGACACACACGATCACCAATCTTGCCACATCCAGCAGATGGCAAGGAACTCACCTCATTATCACCATGCTGTGAATCACATGTGGTTACAGAAGCAAACTACAAATGCTGACAAGAAAATATATGCATAGATGTTGGTCTTGCTTTGTGCGTCAACAGCTTGCTTGCAAGATTGACCTGCAGGCTGAAACCAGACCTGAATGGATGCACTGCGTCTTTCCTGCGTCAGCTCCTGGTAGGAGCAGGGCCTCTGCTTTGGCTGTGTCAAGGAGCTTGCCAGCCATATCCAGAGGAGTGCTGAAAGCTGCCACCAGTGCACACACTTGTTCATCTTTAATTGCTGTATGGGCTGTGCCTGCAGTCACAGGTGGCCACCATATCAAGCCTTGCAACACAATGTGCAACGAATGACAATGCCAGCCTTGTCCTGGACTGTGCTGACACCCTAAAAGCCTGCAGCATAGGTTGGTTGCATAATTTGTTCTAGATGATAGAACAAAAGCCCATTCAGGGAGGATGTCATCAAAGGTATGCTGTGAAATTCACAGTGTTACCAACCCACACTGACCTTCAAGTGGGCCAAGCTTCTGAAGCTGTGATATGGCCTCCTTAATGGGGACAACCACCTCAGACTCCCACTGAGATCTCCATCTGTCCATGGTGGAATGGGGAGGCAAATCAACCAGGGAGGGTCGCATGTTCGGGGGCAAATCAGCATATGCCTGAGCCTGCGCCAATCTGTCTTCGAGAATGCGCACCTGCAGACAGAGGGCAGCATACACTTCAAGCTTCTGACTCCACTATTACTGTCCATCAATGAGCAGCAAGTTGTGCAATCTGATGCCATGATGGTTGGCCATATATGAGTCTCCGTTCCTCCAAATAGCAAATTCAATGCTTTGCTGTCCATATCACATGCCCTTACTCTTTGCATGAGCTCCTCAACAAACCGGTCTTCTTCTGTGTCTGCCAGAACTGCTCCATGCTTCAAACGGTCAACATATTGTTCCACCCTCAGGACCTGCTCTGGAGTCAAGCCCATGTCTGCTGCTTGGCGGCCCTGGTATTTGGCCCTGAAGCGCAACTCTGTCTTCAACTTGCGGCGTTCTTCCTCAAGGTTCCACACCTCAGTTTCCAATTGAGCAGTCAGACTTCTCAGCTGCAGAATGGCTGCATCCTTCTCAATCTTCAGATGTGAGATATCAACTGCCTCCTCTTCTGGAACATTTGCCTGGTATTGAGGGAATAGTCCCGCATGTCACGGACAGAACTTGAGGTTTCATCATGTCACTGTGATGTTCTTTTGCAAAGGTCAATCGTGACCTCATTAAGGTAAGCATCAGCATGCAGGAATACGACTTGCACTGCTTGCATATTTGAGTTGGCAATTCCCCAAACTTGCGCACCAAGGAATCGCTCATGCAGGAACTATGGATCGGATTATCACTAGCACGCGTTCATGCTTGCAATAAGGGTACCTTTGCCCGGAGCACCCTGTTCTCATCTGCTAGGGTCTCCACACTGTCCATTGCTAAATTTGCCTGAGACACCAGCTCCTCTTGCCGCTTCTCTGCTGCATCCAGACGAGCTTTCAATGAACTGATTTCTTCCATAGCCTGTGGAGCAGTTACACCATGGTCTCACAAATTAAGCAAGATTCATCAACCAGCTCAAGCCTGAGGCAGCTGCTCAACATACTCTTGAGAAATTCCACAATAATCTGCAGGGAAAGGGCACGCCAGAAAACCAAAAGCACCCTCTACCCTTCTGTAATATTGAAACTTCTGGAAGTTCAAAATGATGCCTCCAAATCAGTTGGCCCAGCCCGTTTTTCAACACACATCAAAATTCCATTGGCCATTCATTTTCAGCCAGGCTGATTGGCCGAAAATTCGATCCTGTTTCACAAGCCGATTCCCCAAGATTGCTATTCAACTGTGGAAACACTGTCTCTGTACATGAGAGATCTGGACCACTTTTCAATGTTCTGGCTTGTTCTCTTGCCATGCTGGACACAGAAGCTGCACAACAATGTCACATGACAACCTCAGCTCTCATTGTCACAGGATATATGTCACTATCTTTGTGGCAGTTCTTGCGCTGTATTGTGTCATTGGTTACAGGCTTGATTTGGAAACTGCTGGGGGGGGGCATCAGAGAAGTAACGTTTATGTGAACTGCAAGTTGAAACCACATCTTGATTGTGTCCCTGGCCATGGTGGCAAGATGTACAATGCATATTTCCTCCCCCTCCACAGCCACACACGGAATCCCCCTCACCCTCCCTGAACGAAGCGTAATGCGCCATAAACCAATACACACCACTTGTGCCCATGCTGCTTCTCACCTCCACAAGACCATATATCCCCTCTTCATACATCCTGTTCCTCTCCTGTACAGCGTCCAAGCTCTCTTGGAGATGCTCCAAATGCTCATCCAGAGCTCTACACCTTGCCCTGGTACACTGCAGCTCTTCCTCCAAGGCCTTGTTCCTCTTGGCCTGCCTCTCAAAATCAGCGGTCTGCCCAGCAACAGCCTGCTGCACTTCCTTTTCGACATCCATCTCGAGCTGTTCATATGCTTCCAGCAGCAAGATCTGGAAGCGGAGCATCAGCAACCCATGCTGAAGGTTCCCAATATCCACTTAGCAAGGCATATTCCCAGTAGCATTCAAGGCATAAGGTTGCTCCACCATGCATCTCGCTGACGAATTTATGCCCAAGCTGACATCAGCTCATGCATAGAATGATTGTCATATCACAACTCCAACTGCCCTTCTTGTGTGCTTGGCTTGCTTGTCCAAGTTGTCTGCTTCAGCTCATACAACAGCAAACTGATCAAAACTGTAAAGACCTATGATGCTTTGTTGCTTTTTCGTGAACGCCCATCACCCAGTGCATGTTACATCGTGAATCCCTTGCCATGTGCTGGAACTGTGAAAATAGATTGCATGCCTGCACATCTCAACATCCCTGCCATCGGCAATCACACTACTGCAGATGAATCTGCTAATTTAATGGCCATTAGCAGTGCTGCAACAATGTTCTCCTGATTGCCTCATCTTCACATCGCTTCATACACTTCATGTGCAAAAGCAGACAGGGTTGGGGATGCAATTCACAACCAATAGTTCACTGTCAAGCTGACCTCCTGAGTGAAATTGATCCACCGAATCTTCCAGAAGCAACAATTCCACGAACATCAACAGTTCAAGCAAATGTTCACAGTCCTTTACAATGGAATCAAAGGCAAGGTCAGCTACCTCTTTTTCCTTGGCCTCATCAAGCTCCTCTCGCAAATTAGCCACCACAAGTCCCAAAGAATCCTCAGAGTCTTGGGAGCCTGTCAAGTTATGCCTGTCACCAGTGCTGCTTTTCTTGACTGTCACCTGTGCCGCCTGCTCACGCATGGATTCAATTTGATCATTTAACGTTAATCTTTCTGTCTCCCAGGCCCTGCACAAACAAGAAATCAATTGAACACCAATGCCAATTTCCAATTGCGAATTGGGGACATAAAAACCATGCAAGCAATCAGCAAGAACCAAAATGCACTCTTCTAGGAGCCAGTGTAATGCATTTGACGGAAAAAGAAGCAGCAAAAATTGAAGTTCTGATTCATTCACTCACTGCAAGGAGATTCCGCAGCAGCAAACCAGAAATCATGCAACTCGATGTTGCCATTGGTCGACTGAATAACTGATGAGAAACCCACTTGTACTCGCGATGGTAGCGGGTCTCGAAGTCATCCAGGAGATGCATTTTGTCCACCAGTTCCCTACGAATCAGGTCCCGTTCTTCAGTGACTGTTGTGGAAAGTTCTGTGAGATGTTTAACTTTGTCATGCAAGTCTGTTTCCTGGACTCGCCATAGCCGGGCCTGCTCGTCCAACTCAACAATTTTTTCAGACACCTGTATGCCACCATCCAAAAGAAGTTGTTCAGAAAAGACAAACGAAGCAAACAAACAGGCATGTGGGTCAACAGAGCAGCACTTTGATGTTTTGAAGGAAGACAAGTCCAAAGCAAATTAAGCTTGATCGACAGTGAGCTCACCAGACTCATGTTGACCATGATTAGCAGAGAAAAATGTACTTCATCTGAAGATTTTATATTCCATTCGGCTCACAGAGCGATGGAAATAGGCAAAGGTAGCTTCACCCCTCACCCTAGCCCTGCTGCCAGACAGTACAGCAAGTATTGTTCAAATTCTTGATGCAAGACTGCAGGGCATTTGCCGCAAAGTGTGATGTAAGAAATTGCACACCTCCAGATTCTCCATCTTTATCTCGTTCAGCCTTGAAAGAAGCTCAACATTTGTGTCTTCCAGATCACGATTTTCCTTCAACAACCGGTCTATCCTTTGGTCTTGGCTCCTCAGGGTGTGCTGCACAAAGAGGATGTACGGTGTGACCAAGGAACGCAAATATGCCTTGATACACATCAATCCAATAGCAGCTAGAGAGGGCAGCAAATTCCATTTTATAAATCAATAAGCATGGCCATTGGTTGCAGTGCAGTGGTGCCAATAACAGTAATGCAGCTGTCATGGATTAGCCTACGACAGGATTAAATTACATAGGCAGAAAATATACGCAGCACAAAAATCGCGAGATGGGGACACCAGTAGGTGCTTTGATTATGTCTGATACAGTACTTTGTCCCTACTCGCAGTTCTCCCTGCAGGTCTGATGCCTGCCGCTGCAGGGAGGCGGACTGGGCCTCATTGCGCAAAGTGTCGTTTTCCTTTTCAGCATCTTTCAGCCTCTCTTCAAGGCTGGCTTCATGTGCTGCGGCATTCTCCAGCTGTGCTTGCAGTCGAGATAAACTGCATGCACCCAAGTTCTGCCATGTTTCTCAATCAAAGGGTCTTCATTGTCGTCCAACCATAGTGCCACCTTATATGGTGAATGCACCAACAAGATGATCGTTCACTGACTGCACGTTCATGGCATTGGCAGAGAGCAATTGAGTGGCAGACTGGGGCTCAATCCCCAAATATTTCTTTATGTAATTCAATTTGTTGTGCACAGGTTAAAACTATACCTCAGCAGCAATGATTTGATGCTTTTTGCTCATTGGCTGTATCTCCAGCAGTGCCAAAACAAGCAATGGACAGAGAGAGATCTCCCACCTATTCTCCAAATCTTCAATTCTCTCCTGGTTCTTTGATTTGTCAGCCACATGATCATCCAGGGAGTGCTGCGCCTCGCCCAAAGCTGTATCAAGCTCCTGTACTTCATTCCTGAGCACCTCATTCTCTTTTTGCATGGCAGCATTTTCTTGGGCAAGGGCATGAGCATCTTGCCCATGTACCTCAAGCCCCAGCTGCAGAAGGCAGATGACTCTTTCCTGGGCAAGAAGAAGAGAGTTTCCCACTGTCTCAATGCCCAGAAGTACACTCACTTGCTCCAGTGTCCCAAACTCCTGAAACTAGGGACAACATGTGATTCTATTTGAGACGTCCATGTTCTTGTGCATGGGCATGGCCACAGTCACAAGTGCAAGCAGCACAGAGCAAACACAGAGCTTTCACTCATGGCACCTGGGGAAGTTCAACAGCCCAGCCACAAGATCAGCAAAACAATATTTCAGCCTGCATTCGCATAGATCCCATCAGGCCTCTCGGGCAAGGCAGACCATTCGATATTGTGCGAATAGTGCAAACAGTGCAGCCACAACTGTGTGTTCTCTAAAAACATGCCACTCTTGTGGCTGTTTTCTGGCCCTCATCGTTGAGGTATGGTGCCAAACAACTCACGAAGGTTCAAGAGTTATTACTGTGTTAACATGCCAGCACTGAAGTGTGCATTCATTAAAGGAGGTTGTACAACCTTGTGGAAATTTGTACAAATCCTGTTTGAAGTCCATGGCTGGTAGTGAATTGGACAAGCACTGCTCCCGTTTTGGTGCACTTTGCAGCAGACCTGTTGTGGCTCATTGCATCAGGAGGTTGAAATCTCCATGCAACACAGGCAACGGAAGTTATGCTTCATAGCTGTGTTCTCTTAATAGCAATGCCACAATGTACATTGCATTTCCCCCTCGGTGAAAAACAAGTAGACTGTTTCATCTGCGATCCTCGCTGACCAACTAAAGGACCCTTCTGCTTAGCCATGGGACAAGGTTTGGCCTTCACACATGTAATGGTACAAGATGGTGGGCAAATAGAATACAGTGCCCTTCATAACTGCTCTGCAGTGCTCTGTGATATGATGCATGATATGGGCGTCGTAAACCCCGTCCAGGTTGCAGCAGTTGCAGCTGGCTTGAGGATGAGGACAAGCGAAGACCAGCCCAGAGCATCGCCCATCATGCAGCAATGCAGCCATACAATCTATCCCACATCCTGATCAGCAATCCAACAACACACCCTTCGATGGTTTTAGGGCTAATGTACTCTTCCCCAGAATCGACTGCAGCCAGGTTTGCCCACAAACACCGAGCAAGAAGACTGCATTGACATGCACGTGACAGGACCGCCAACACTAAGCAGCGCCCAAGACGCTTTGATATCCACATCATCTCCCAGTTCGCAAGTTGGGACAAGTGACAACTAACGCCAGTTGCTGAAACTCAAGCTCGAGGCAAACCGAGCCCATGGCGACGAGTCCAGTACTTTCGACACGCGCTCAGACGCCATTCGCCCTTACAGGACTCTCCTGATCAGCAGGCCGTTTCATCGTTGCAGGCCTACGTTACTCAAGATCTGCAATCCAGTATCCACTTCCCATACGCAGCGAAGCACTCAAGTTTGAGAGCAACAGCGGATCACAGAATGTTCGGGCCGTGGGAGCGGCCTCAAGGACCCCATGCTGCCCACCTGTTTGTACACCTCCGTGGACGGAGCCAGCCCAGTTATGTCCTCCAGCCGCGTTGCTTCGATGCGGCTCTGCCGCCCGTAGAACTCCATCCCGGTGAGCACCGAGCCGATGGGTCGTTTGCCGTCGCGCCGGCGCAAAGCGCCAGCAACACGCGCTCAAATTCACAACCCCTTCTATACGAATGCTCGGCGGAGGGATGAGGAGAAAAGAAACGCCGAAGACAAAAAAACAATGTTCGATTACGTTTGCAAATCCGTCAACAAATCAAACGTCCCCTACATCGACACTTGCAACTGCCACAGTCGTGGCTCTCGGCACTGGGGAGAATAGTGTCCGAGCCCCTTGAGCCAAGGCGCCCCTTCTTGGGGGCAACACACTGTCTCAAAGAATCGTGTCAATCCCAAGAACTGGTGACCACACAATAACAGAGCAGGTTCCCTCTCAACTTGTAGTTAATACCCAAGTGCCTTTAGGGCGTATCTGTTGCAGTGTAGCGTTGCAATGTTGAAATCAAGAAGCTGTGCGAAGAAATTGAGAAGAACGAGAAGAAGAACGTTGGGCTCGATTTGTGCATGTGATATTTCAGGTTTGCATTTTCACCGAATCGGGATTCCTTAATCACCGCAATCAGTGATGCATGGATTTCATTCCAGGTTATGGAGGACAATGTCCAACGCAAAATTGTGTCACGGAGAGCCTTGCCCAATACTTCTCAACGCAATGTTCAAAGCATGGTGCAAATGAATGGATACATAAAACTTGTTTGCAGCACTGACTGCACATAGCATTTTGTGGACAAAGGCCATTGCCGAAGGAGGAGGGAAGGGGGGAGATAACGCAACCAACATTACTGCAGGTGGCCATGAAGTGTGGCAGGGCGTTGATGCACGTTCCGAAACATTCTGTCAGTGTCTGCTGCACTTGGCGTTGGGCAATCGGTGCGCTTTCTTGCTTAGTTGAAGTATGTAGAGCCGCACACGTTGTGTTCTTTGCAGCATTTTAATATATTTTTTTCCCTGTCTGATGCAATTCTGCCATGCCACGGCCAGGGAGTGTCTCTATTGTGGTGTTCCTTGCTGCAAGGTACCTTGGTGCATTTACGAATCTTCAGTAGTTTAAACTTTGCACAGCACATGCACCAATTCATGGCAATTGTTGGGGGCTCCTGCTGATTCAGGGCCACAGTTCTGGTCATCGTGCAATTTACGCTCAAGGTACCAGTCAGTACGATGATGACCTCCAGGACCTGCTCTGCCAAGATGCTTTGTTCATAGGGTCTAGAATGCAGCAGCGCGATGTGGGGGGCCATACCAGACCCCAAAGTTGCTTGGCAAGGGACGTCCTGCCCCCAGTGTGCCACGCACAGGTAAATCTGGGGATGGGTGTGATCTGGAGGCGCTCGCCACAGATTTATCACAGGAGCAACCAGTGACTGTGGGACACAAGTCACTCACAGCTGCTGAAAGAAGGATGGTACTGCACCAGTCACCATGCTCAAGGTTGGTGCAGTGTCTTCTTTCCTACAAGGGCGTTCAAAACAGCAACCGATCTACTCATCCACAAATGTTCCGCAACTGGTCATAACGAACAGTGAATGCGATTCGCTGCCTTCTGAGCACAACATTTTCTGCCACAAGAAGGCCTACCAAACGGGACACCCTCTCTGTTTGAGCACACATCCATAAGCTGCCGAACAGATCCGTAAATCAAACCCGTTTCCGTCAATCCAATCCCGCCTCACCCCAGCCCATACCCGGCTCCCAACCCCCCTGCGACCCCCACCCTGGCCAGCCCAAACCGTCACATCATTTTACAACACGAGTTCGATCTCTTGGCCGTCTTGTAGAACATCTGGCTCGCCAAGCTCAGGTCCGAGCTCTTCTCCACCAGGTGATCCAGCTTCTCCCCTCTCTCCAGGACGCTCTCGATCGTCTTGTGCAGTATCACCTTGGTCTCGTCCAGGTCCCTCTGTATCTTGGTCAGCTTGTCCGCCTGCGCGGGGTCCTGGAACCGTGCCAGGCACTGCTCCAGCACCGGCGTGGCCTCCTGGCCGTCGCCGGACGCCGAGCGAAACGCATCCCCGAACTTGGCGCCATAATCCTCGAGCGCGCGTGTGACCACAGAGAAGGCCGCCCGCTGGGGATACTCCTGGTCGCACACGGCCACGCCCGCCAGGCCCGACTCCTTGACGTGCACGTGGATGAAGTAGTCCTCGTGCTGCACGGTCTGGCGCTGGCCGCGCTGCGTGCGCTGGACGATGGTGCGCGAGGTGAAGGTGATGAAGTCCCGCACGCTGCCGCGCTGGAAGTAGCCGAAGTTGGACAGGTCGCAGGCAAAGCCCAGCACGTTGGGCTCCTTGGCGTCGCCGTTCCAGCGCAGCACGCCAATCGCCGTCAGTTTCATGCCCAGCAACCTCGCCACCCAAGGGCCGGGGCTGGGTTGGCGGGGGGCACGGGTGGGTGCGGGCGGCGAGAATGGTGCGCCATGGGGCCCAACATCACATTGTTTATCACTGCGCATCATATGGGTCAGCTCGGGTGGATTTCCGGGCACAGGTAAAAGCCGCTTCTCCACACCACGCAGGGGCAGTGCATGGGGGTGCGCTGCTGTGAATAGACAAAAAAATCGTGTCCTTCCGGGAACAAACGGTGCAAATTTAAATTTGAAGGAAATTTCCTTCTCCGTGCTGCATCATTTGACGCTTTTTCACATGTACTTCCTCCGTCCCATATTAATTGTCGTCTATGATTTTGAAACGTTGTTTCTCTACCGTGCCTGCATTATTTTGTAATGAAATTTTCCCTAAAGTTGTTTTTAGAAGGTTGGAGTGTACCATGAAAATTTCAAGTTGATCCATTAAGTTTTGAGGATTTGGCAGTACTTTGTAGCAAGGGTCCTCTGGCCAGAAAAGGGTCGTTTCTAGACGTTGCGCCAAAAGCAGCTGTTTTTGGCTATTTTGAGGAGCACTCCTTCACGGCAGCGAAACAAACTCGTCCTTGCAAAACTATTCATGCTGTTCAGAGTGGAGGTCATTAGGGTGCTTGCAAAGAGGTATGGTGATAGAAAACGTGTTTCGAATGCATTGATCGTCGAACTCGCCGTGGCTCGCACCATTAATTTAGGCTTGATCTGGGGGATCGGAGTCACGTTTCAGACGCAAATTTTTTAGGTCAAGGCTTTTCGAGTTCTTTTGCCACTGTCAAAGCAACTGAGAGAGGTCTCCCAATCCTTTTAACTAGGAGCCGGAGATGGTAATGGCTATCACCTCGATATGGCACAAACAATTAGTGAATTGGCAATTGCCACGGGAATGGCGACATATCCTTGTTTCGGAACTTTAGAGGATTGGGTGCAAGGGGGATGGCCACAAATGTGAATTTGGGTCTTCTAGAGTGATGGAGTCTTGCTAGGTTCCAATGGATTGTGTACCGCGCACAAGCATTTGGCATTGTATCCACAAACAATGGCAATTTTGGGGCTTCCAGCTTAGGGGCCCATGCAAGTCCCGATTCAAGCATCAACTAAGGCGAAATATCCAAGCAAGGCTACCAAACAGCCTTCGAGCGACAGAACGCACTGATCCTAGGCTTCAAGGTTGTTTACGTTGGCCTTTCCGCTCGTTGGAGGTCCCCCCATCGGAGATCGAGAAAACCGGCGATTTCTGGTATCGTCAACACTGTGACGATGGCTGCCTGAGACAAGGATAAAGTCATGTTTGAGTGTGTTTGGCAGGTGCTATGCCATGTGCCGGACCCTATCCATTGCCCCAAAGGTGGCAACCATTGGCGTTGGAAACCCTAGGCACGGGAGCGCCCCCAAACCGGGGGGGCCTGCAAGACCGCGGAAATTGAACGCGCATTTTTTGGACTGTGTCAAGGCAATTTTGGGGGCCAGCTCATAGGCCTGAGAACTAAATGTTTTTTCTTGAAAATTCGAACTTAAGGGTTTTGAGACCCAATCTTTCCAATTCCGACCTCCAATTGTAATTTGGATACAGTTTTCATGACGAGATTTCTCTCTCAAATAGACGACAATTAATATCAAATAGACGACAATTAATATGGGACGGAGGAAGTAAGTATATGCATCATGCATCTCATGTATTACGCAAACCCTATAAGTGTGTCATAGCTCCAAATGCAATGATATAAGGTGGACAGCATGAAAATCACCCAAGAAAACTGTAATGTTCATAAAATATCATATGCATGATCACACAGCCCCACCTGTCCAAAGTTTATTCCATTCGGAGAACTGTGCGGAAGCTCAATCGATGCTCCGTCCTTTCCTTCCACCTGCATGGATGAATGAATGGCGTAACCTTCACCCTTCACGTTGAGTATCAAAACATTTTGTTTTTTGTTGACCACACACACAACGTTGTGGTTCACAGACTTTTCCAGCTGAGGTCTGAAATAAACAGCGACTTCGATGCTTGACTTGGGCGGAATTGTCCCCGAAGTCGGGTGAAACTTGACGACAGGATCCTTCCCTGCAAGCCAAAATATATAATATATTAGATTCTTGCGTACTGCTGTGCTTGTTTCGATTTTGAAAATGCCACATTTCCATTACAATGCTTGAAATCATGTGTTTTTTGAGACCGAACTGCCCCCAATCCTTGCTCATCCTTCCCCACTCTGCCACCCGTCTCAAAAACCAATAATGCACCCTTCGATCAGCCAATGCGGCGGGTGTTTGAAAAGATTTAGTCTAGTATATCGACAACAAAACCAATATGGGGTGACTAATAGTCAAATAGTCACTTATAGTATAAGTGAATAAAGGCATCAAGTTCTACTTGTGTGAAGCCTTTCGTAAAGAAAATAAAATGCTCCAACACAGTATGTACTCAACACGAAAATCCACCAAACTTGCAAATGGTTTTAGTTAGTAAAAACCACAGTTGAAAACACCTTCAAAAATTAGAATGATAAATTCGAACATGTATCTATCGCATTACCTGTGTTTTTTACAACGTCATCACTGGCATCATAGCTCGTCTTGTCGAGCCTAAAACTGAATGGAAGATGTTCGTTGTTTACTATCCTCACTAATACCGTCCCACGAGCTCCGATAAGTAATTTCCCGAAATTTATTGCTGGTCGGTCGAAGGCAACGTTGGGCTCCGTGACATGGCCCACCTAAAGCATACCGTGTCAGTGTTGCCAAGTTAACATCACCACGCGTGCTTCATACAGACGCAGTCGATCACATAACGTTTGATTGGCATCCTTTGGCTGATGTGTTTGGGATCCATCAAGTTGGAATCACGTTTAACTTTGCTCCCAATAATTTTGCCTAATATAACAAGCGCGGACTAATACAAAATTTGCTCCAAAAGATTGGAATCTTCAAAATGAGAACTACAAATGAATAAGTAGTGCGCTTCAAAGCACCATTTCAAATCGAATATTCGGTTTACCTCTCTGCCGAAGCCAATGCCAAAAGAAAAGTGAATCGAGTCACACGCTTAAAAGACAGGCATCTTTTAGTTGTCTCGCATATACGAAACACACACACACGCGCGCGCTCGCGCACAGGAAGGCGGACTTAACACTCGCATATGCGAGATGCAGGTTGGCGCATTAAGCAAACCCTAAGCAAGTCATTCTTTCCCTAGGCAGTGGAAGTGCATCGGATTCAACTTTGCAAAAATGCAGCCATGCAGCTCGGGAAGCAGCACCCTCACCAGCAGGAACGGGGAGTCGATCCGATGCTCCGGCACCCTAAACACCCAAAACGATTCATGCACCTTGCTGCATGTGGGTGTGAAGTCGAACGCCATTTCATAGCGACGTCCCCCAGACATGACGCCCCTCCTTGTCAGACAGCTGAATGGAGAAGCTGTCGCATCTGAACTTGGTACCTTTGCGCCAAATTTATGCCATTATATGGGATAAGGCTTGTGTGGAACAAGCACAAATTATCATGGTTGTTATTCAGAGCTAATGTCAAGCTTTGGTATGATTATGTTATGTTTAAAGTACGCACCATAAGATGTGCAGGGGAAAATAAAATGCAACTGAGTGACGGTGCACTCCATTGAATGTGTTGTCACGGCTCATCATGGATGATTTCTCACAGTGCAACACTATTATTGAAGCATTCTGTTAAGTCTGCTTGATCATTTGTTTTGAAAACCCCAGCCTTAAAATTACCTATAAAGTGTATTGTAGCTCACATTAGTTCATTACAGTACTGCAGTAAGGTGCTCTTTCTTTACAGGGAAGGACACGTTAAGCCGCAGGCGCGATCAAACTTGTGGTCTGTGCCCTTTCAGGAACACGCCAATTGAAACAGACTGGGCGTATCATAAGGTTCAGGACGATTCGATGAAACTTCATATCATGAATTATGACATACCGTCAGTTAGTAAAGATTCCAAGTTGGAATCTTCTCAGTGACTTCACTTTGGAACTTCTAACGCTGATTGAAGCTTTGATTCGAAAAATGACTAAGCTGGTCAACGCCTGTCAATTGAAGGGCATGATGCTCGTGGCGACTACAGATTTTGCGTGCGTGATGTGCTGCCCTTTCTAGATCCTGATGCTGCTCACACTATGCACGGATCGTGTCGCACATACCTCAGAAATATTTCAAGCTCTGAGGTATCGAAGATCGGAGACTCTGAAATTACAAATTTCTTTGTGTGCCGTCTGTTATTGTATAATATGCAATGCATAGCAGCAGGGCAACTGTGCATTTGGAGTGGTGTATTGTCATTATGTGCGACCTGAAATGGTCACGGTCAGGCTTGATAGTCGTTGTGCATTTAGGCCCATGTCAATGTACATTTGTAGTTTATGTAACCTCGCCTAGTTGTATGTAATGATAGACAAAGAGTGATATTATAGGAGCCTATCTGCAGATCGCTTGAGAGGATTCCCACCTCTTTTAAAATGAGCTCAGTACAGCTGATTCTAGAGTTGCGCACAATACCGCTATCCACACTTGCACCTGTGGGACATGGGTCACCTGCCGCTGCAGTGAAGGTGGTGTCGCAGCCGATTACAATTGATAATACAATGTGTTGCTGAAGATGAGTGCCTCATTATGTTAATGTGGAACCGGGTTTTGGGTTGTTCAACGATTGTTGTTAGGACAATGAGCGGACAAATTGCTTTGTTCTATTGTCGTACTACTATAGTGCGCACTTTAAGATTAGGGCTGCCTCTTTGCCTTGTCATGTTAAGAGGAATAATAATGATGTACTTTGAGTAGTGACATCCCAGGGGTCGGAGGACTCCCCCGTATCACTGTCCCGCGTGCGAGGGAGCCGCTTTCGTCCCTTATCATACGGCATGTGCGAGCGGGTGTGGAGCAAATACGGGTGGATCCAAAGCAAGATGTGCGGCAAGCTCCTGCCCAAGAAGAGCAGGATGCTTGTGGTGATCTGCATG